CCGAGCACAGGCTGATGGAGCGTGGGCGGTCTTTGGTCCTCGGCCGCTCCTCATTGCCTCGAGGCGGCTTTGAGGAGACGAAGGCGGGACTCGACCGGCGGCCAGACCGGGATCTCGCAGCCGTGTGGACGCCGGGCCTGACGCCCTGAGCTCCACTGAAACGGGTGGGGATGGAGCCGGAGCCCACCCGCCATCGCTTCCTCCCCGCTCCAGCCCGCGTAGGCGGGACATTTGCACATTTGAATTTGCGTGGTTCTTGCGAACTAGAGTGCAGGCAGGATCGGTTTGAAAAATCGCCCGCTCCCTAGGCTCTGGCTAAAAAACAAGCAACTCATCGAGCCCACTTCCCTGCCGGCTCTGTGTTGTCTCTCCTCGGTGGTGCAGGCCACACCGTGACAGAGAAAAGTGCCCAGGGAGGAAGTAACCGCATCAAAAGACTCGGGGGGAACCGGGCAGACCCCTAGCTCCCCGCTGCCTACTAGCTTGCCCACAGCCCCGCTCTCTGGTAGGGTGCCATTCTCTGGGACTTTGGCGCCAAGAATCCAACTTCTGAGCAAGGTCCTAGACCCTTAGCTTCTGCACCTTGACAAACGAGGACAGAATGTTTACTACTACTAGGTGAAATAATACTTCCAGAACTTGTTCGGATTTTTAAAGTCAAAAGGATTGCTGAGGAAAATATGGAGAAGACAATGACTTTAAAATCAATCATAATCATATCTCCCAAGGATAGTCTCAGTAGATATGGTGTAGTTCCTTCCACTCTTATTTTCTATGCATGCATACTCTTTTCTTGTCATTGGAAATATGATATACGTAGAGTTTTTAATTTTTACACCATCATAAGTATATTTCAGTACCACAGAAAAACCCAAACCTACTACAGTCAAGTCGATTCCAACCCATAGGGGCCAGATAGGGCAGAGTAGAACTCCTTAGGTTTCTAATCTTTGTAGGAGCAGTCTCATCTCCGGTGAAGTAACTGGTGAATTTGAAATCACAAGCTTGCGGTTAGCAGGCTAATTAATGCTTAACTCACTGGGCTCCTTATGCCATTGAAGATAACGTTTCTGTAACTACTCAGGTCCCTCTAAAAAACAAAACTAACAGCCTCACTGCCATTCTTATAACTCTGTACTCGGGTCAAAAGCTCTTGTAGAGCAGTTAGTGGTTCCTAACTGGGATTCTTACAGCGAAACAAATCACCAGGGATCCTCATGCAAAAGATTGGCACTAGGCTGCTCAGTGGTGCTGAACTTAGCAGGCGGTCTCATGGAAGAAAAGCCTGTAAATGAACAAACGCAGGGCGGAAGCCGTGTTGATGATTCCCAAAGCTGGAGCGATCCCTCTCCAGGGCAGGCAGCACAAGTATGGAAACGACAAAAGCACCTGGCCCACCTGGCATTCACCTGTGTGATCTAGTGACCAGATGCGAGTTTGTGTTTGTGTGATTCTTTGAGCTCTATTGTTTCTTCACTTGCAAAGTTTACACTTCATGTGTGTTGTATTTGAATTGTAAGCTATCCCACTGCATTCTCTTTTGCTGATGGTAAAAAAGCCTGTGTCCTGGGTGCTCTGGGCCCGTCGTGGCTTCCATGGCGATTATGTGGATACCTGTGAAGGTGCTATGGACTGAAGCACAGAATGGGTGACATGAGACGGGGACCTGCTCACCCAACCACTGCCATTTAGCCTTGGACATACGTGGCACCTATTTCCTCAGCCTTCTATTCCATCTGAATAAACAAGAGTTAAGTCCAGGAAAAAAGTAATGACAGCAAGGCAGGTTCCTCAGCCTCTGGAAGTACTCACTGTCATACATTCCCGCGCATGCACTCAAATGTACACAGATGTGCACACTCACTTACCCACCCACCCACCCTATGCCCACCATCCTCTCATCCAGCGATCAGGCAGCATCAGCCCATCCTGGCTCTCCTTTGCTGTCAGGCCCTCAGCACCTTCCTTCCGGGCCGTCTCAGAATAACAGACCTGTCTCTTCCAAGAACTGAAGTGGTCTAGGAAAAGAGCAAGAAGCCGGAACTGATCTCAGCTACTCAAATGGCAAGTCCTCTTGACCCCAAACTCACCCCACCCCGTACACCAGGAACTTCTTCAAGAATACATTTTGCATGCAATTTTGCTTTTATTTTTGTCATTACACAAATAACCAATGTTTCTTACAGAAAAATCAGATCACAGAAAAACGAACATTGCTTTGAACCCCACCTAAAGAGAACTCAGCAGACTGGGAAAGCTAACTAACCATAGGGGAAACTTGAACCTCTCCTGGGCTGGTGGCAGAGGAGAGTTTTTCCCCCCATGACTACTTGTGTTTGGGGCCCAGTAATCTTCTATTGTGCTATGTGCTATGCTGGTGCTCCTCCACCACTGATAACAACGCCTGGAAAACAGCATGGCAGGAAGACGGGTGGGTACAACAGTTGGCAGACTCAGACACTGATGCACGGAGGAACAGCCCTCGGTGCCATGCTTCCTGAGCGACAGTAGCAGAGATGCCCCATTCTTCCTACTCACTGAAAAGATGGTTTTAGACAAGCCCTTTCACCTCGCTGGGCCTGCTTTCTTATCTGCAAAATTGGAATAGTAATGCCTGCCTCATCGAACGCTCGGGGTACTCAGTGTAGGCCCGCGTGGTAGGGCTTGGCAGACCCTGAAGAAACCCAAGCCACTGCCATCAAGTCAGTTCTGACTCACAGCACTCCTATGTAAGTTTCCAAGACTGTAAATCTCTCTGGGAGCAGATAGCTTCATCTTTCTCCCCAGGAGCTGCTGGTGGGTTTGCACCACCAGACTTTCAGTTAGCAGCCCATTGCTTTCCTGACAGCACAATCAGGGCTTCTTAAGCCCTTCAAAATAAAAAATAGAAAATCTCACTGCCCTCAGATCAATTCTGATTCATAACTACACTATGGAGAGAGTAGAACAGCCCCTGTGGGTTTCTGAGGCTACAGATCTTGACACTAGGAGAAAGACATATTTCTCCCATGGAGAAGCTGGTGAGTTTCAGCTGCTGGCCTTGTGTAAGCCTCTGTGCCACCTGACTTTGGGGCTAGCAGGTCGACTCCTAACCCTCTACTCCACCAGGGCTTCTTAAAGCCCACCGGTAGGCCTGAGGTAAATACTGCTGTAAACCCCTCTAACAAAGCCTCCCTAAGTGATCCACAAGTGATCATCTGCCTAAGCACACACTCTTTAAACAACAAAATGCAAATGTGCATGGGGCAACAGACACAATGAATGCCTGGCAACCAAATAAAAAATTACTAGCCTGTGAAAGGGCAAGAAAATGTAACCCCTATGTGGGAGGGCATGTCATTGAAATGAACATAGGAATGATGAAAGTTATCAACGGGGACTTTCAAAGACACGCATAGAAAATATAACAAAATATTTTAAAGAAACAAGTACAACGGAGACATAAAGGATATAAAGAGAACCAAATGAAAACAAAAAACTAAATGAGAGGAGCTGATACCAAGGGCTCAAGCAGAAAGCAAATGTTTTGAGAATTATGATGGCAACAACGTACAAATGTGCTTGACACAATGGGTGTATGTATGTATTGTGATAAGAGTTGTATTAGCCCCCAATAAAATGATTTAAAAAATAAGAATAAATGAAACTTTAAAGATTTAAATGTATAATATATAAAATAAAAAATTCACTGGGTGGGTCCCAGAAGGAAGGGTACATACAAAATTTTAAAGAAATATGACCATATTTTGTACATATATGAAATTGTGAAGTCAGACCACTTCAAAGCCAAAAAAAGCATTTTATGTACATGAGAACCAAGACTAATAATCCCCAGAAATAACAACAAGAAAAGCTGGCAATCTAAGACTATATTTCCAGCAAAAAATCCTTCAAGACTGAAGATGAAATAAACATATTTTCAGACAAACAAAAGCTGAGTGAATAAGTATCCAATACCTACAAGAAATGCAAAGGTACATTTGTACATTTGTTGCCATCATTATTCTCAAAATGTTTGTGCTTGGCACAATGGATAGATGGATGGATTGTGATAAGAGTTGTACGAGACCCCAATAAAATGATTACAAAAAAAAAAGAAATGTGAAAGTTCTTTAGGAAAGTCATACTAGTTAGGGAATAATGTATATTGGGCTAGTAAATGTAAGACTTCTGATCACTTCTTAAAATGAAAACTAAGTGTTTAAAGCAAAAGTAATAGTAATGTATTGTGGAATTTATAATGAATAAAAGTAAAATGTGAGATAACAGTAGCATAATGAAGGGTAGAGGAATGGAAGTATAC